TTCAACCCTTTCATTCTATCAAGCCAATAAGTAATTTGTTGTTTAAATTCATCTTTCTTTTTGATAAATTCGTCATCTTTCAAATTTTTTATGTTAGGCTGTTTAAGGTCATCTACTACGTCTTTTTTCAAATTTTTTATTTTATCAAGATAATAAAGTATTTTATGTCTTATAATATCGTTTACATAATCTGTACCTTTTATTTCATCAAGACATTTTTTAATTTCATCTATGTTATCTGAATCTTTTATTTTATCAAGCCAATATCTATGTTCTTTTATGAGTTCGTCTACGTCGTCTATACTTTTTAGTTTATCAAGCCAATACCTAATTTCTTGCTTTTCAATTTCGTCTGAATCTTTTATTTCTTTTATGTTATCAAGCCAATAATTAATTTTACGTTTGATGCTTTCTTTCAAGTAATCAGAATCTTTTATTTTATCAAACCAGTAGTCAATTTCATTATTAATATTGTAAGCATTAGGTCGTATTTGTAAATTTGAGTTAAAACATTGCTTTGCCAGATTAACATAGCAATTAGGTGTTCCATGTGCAAATTCTGGGCGTAATCCATTACAAATCTTCATCGCAAGACTATTATCAATTTCATGTCCATCGAAAGGTCTTTGGCCAGTCGACATTTCTGCCATAACGATGCCAAAGCTGTAGATATCCATTACTGATGCAAATTGTTTTTGTTTTCCTGATAAAATTTCTGGTGCAACATAGGGAATAACTCCATAGACATCACTCATTGAAACATCTTCACCTTCCTTTCTGGAAAGTCCTAGATCTGAAATATAAGATCGCATACTTTTATCTAGTAAAATATTTCCACTATGAAAATCACCATGAATATATCCCACATAATGAATGTCATGTAACTCTTCTGAAATATCTTTAAGCAGTTTTAATTTAGTCTGCCAATTAAGGCCTTGGAAATTTTCTCTTAAGAACTTATTAAGACTTCCATTATCGGCATATTGAGCTACCATAAAGTATTCATTAGTTTCCGTATTGTGAGTTAGGCCATACATCTTAAGTTTGATGCCAATTAAATTGCATTTCAAGTGATTGTTGATCTTGTAAATTTATATGAAAGGATTAATAATTATTATATCTTAATACTAAAATTGTTGATGACTAAAATTTGGATCATTCAAGATAAAATTAAATAATTTTAACATTTTGTTCAGTTTTTTAGGCTAGGTTTTTAGGTTAGGATAAAAAAATTTAGAACAGGGTTATTAATTCGGGGCACGGGCCCAGGATTGGCAGAGTCAATGGAGCTTAATATTTACACGAATGGGGCTCAAAAAACTAGCATCAATTGGCACCATTCAAATCTCTATTGACCATACACAGTTCCATGGGGTTCCATTAAGCTCCTACCTCCAGTTTTTCTGATTTAAATATGCCCTATGCCCCTAAATTTTTGTACGATTTTTTTATATATGGAAATTTTTTTAAAAATGGCATGCCTGGGTAGAGATTGTACCCGAATCGACATTTGTATTAAATGTCTATAATAAATTACCTGAATGATCGGGTAATTTAATAATTGCCGGGTAGAAATTTTCTTGACGGGTACAATCTCTGCCTTAGACACTGCGCCCCAATCCTATTGTTATAGGATAGTTTAATTCTATGTTCAGGTGGAGATCCAAAATTTTAGTATCAACTAATTTTATCAACAATTGCAAATTCAACTTACTTCTTTCAAACTGAAAAGGCTTTTCTCAAAACATGGCAAAGATTTAATTGCAACTTTGCTAAAAGGTTCACGTGACCTCTCATAACTCCCATTGACATTTTCAATTTTTCGTATGCCATCCATCCAGGTTGCAAGAAATACAGTGCCAAACCCGCCTTGCCCAATTTTTCGAATATCATTTAGTCTATTAAATGGAATCCATTCAATTACTTTCGTATACCCTAATGCCTTAAGTTGAAATTCTTTAATGAAATTATCGATATTCTTATTTCCACTAGTCCATCTTTGAGTTTCGATGCTGGGGTCGCACGTTTGGCACCATGCTTCGCTGGTATTATTTTGGTTACAATGTTTGCATTTTCCATAACCTAAATAAAATAATATAGTTTATTTTCAACATCAAATATTATACAATGCATTAATTAAAAAAGCACCTTTAAATCCACCCGCTATTGTTCGTGTATTAATCTTTTTGGAAGTATACATATGATCTGGATGACTTTTTAAGATAATTGGTAAAGTGGGGATAAGTTTATTTGCATCTAAAAATTGCTTTTTAATTTCATTCGCATCATCTGAACTTTGCAAGCATTTATGCCATTCTTCAAGTTTGTCCCAAACACTATAAGCATCTGGCCGTTTTTCTGGATCCGAATCCATACACAGCTTAGCAAATTCAACATAGCAATCTGGAGTTCCAGGGGCAATTTCAGGACGCAACCCATTGCAAATACTTAGTGCAAATTCAGTATCAAATCGATGACCATCAAAGGGTCTTTGTCCCGTTGACATCTCTGACATGATGACTCCAAAGCCATAAATATCAGCAGCTTGGGAAAACTTTTGACCTGACAAAACCTCAGGAGCGACATAAGGCATAACTCCATAAATACCACTATTTGAATCATTTTCGTTTTCCTTTTTGGACAATCCTAGATCTGAGATGTAAGATTGCATATTCTGACTAATTCCTCCTCCAGCTTGTAAAATATTACCACTATGAAAGTCTGAATGAATATATCCTGCGTCATGAATTCTACTTAAGTTGTCAGAAATATCTTTAAGTAATTTTAATTTAGTTTGCCAGTTAAGATTACGAAAATTTTTTATTAAAAACTTGTGAAGACTTCCATTATCAGCAAATTGAAATACCATCAAGTATTCATTTTCACTGTTTTGAGTTAATCCGTATATTTTAAGTTTGCTACCATACAAACCACATAACATCATATGATTCTCAAACTTTATTTAATAAATTTGATTAATTAGTTTATTATTTATTTAATTATTAAATAAGTAGATTTAACTTACTTCTTTTAAAGAACCAGATAAGGTCTTAAGTGCGACGGTGCTGGATGGTTCACGTACTCTTACATAATTAAAATCATTGCCACAAATTTTTCGTATACCATCCAACCAGGTTGCTGAATATACAGAACCGAATCCTCCTTTGCCAATTT